AAAATTATTCGCGGTTATTCTCGGACTACCATAAAGTAGTTCACTAAGATTTAATGCCATACCCGGTATGATGTCATCCTGTTTTATAAAATTTGTTGATTGTAATGAGCTATGCCTCTCGTCAAATTTCGACACGGCTGGCAATTCAGGCAATGAGCGTAATCTCACACTCACTATAATCGTGTCTACAAGCATATTTAGAATATTATATTCATGAAGACCCCCTCCATGTGGAAATGTGAATAAAGAATAATCGAGATCATTTAAAAAATAGTATTCGTCGATCCACTTTTCAAATTCTCTATTCTTATAAACACTTGTAAACCGAGTTTTGTAGATTGGAGTTTTGAAGATATCATCTATTACATCTTGCGAATTATTGTCGTTATTTTCACATTTTTTTATATCATTTACATAAATCTGGAATTCCAAAAACAATAATTTAGTTAACAGAAAGTTAAAGAACTTTTATTACTTAAAAATAAATATTTCTTACTTGAATAAGACAACTTCCAGTAGATAAAGACGAAATATAATGAGTTTCATCATCCTGTTTCAGTCGCAACACAACTGTTTTGTTCATCAAAATATTATAATTACCATTTACAGCAAATGTTGGAAAATGTGTACTATTAATCAGTTCGATGTTTAAACTTTGAGTTTCATAAGTTTGGCACAGCTTAACGATTCCATACTTATATTTTTGGTCGTCAACATACATTCGATTAACACCGAAACAACCATCACTCCAAAGATCTCCGTCATGAAATAACTTTGATGCTGCATTGTCGGTTAGTTTTTTATCAATAGTAATGTTTGGATAAAAATACTCCTTTAGCGATTCAAATAACATACACGTTTTATAAGTCTTCTTATAATTAAATATACTATATTTTTCCGTTTTAATATGGTGAGATCCATTGAACCCGTTAAATATGTCACTGACTATTACTTTACTCGGGTGTTCCTCAAACAAATTAACCGTATCACCTACGCGGAGGTTTTTTCTTTCCCGTGCATTTGCAATAGCAAACAATGCGATAAATAATATTCTAACAAATCCGTTCATTGCTGCGTTTTAATTACGACTGTAATGAATTTATTTATATAAAAAATAGACTCTGCTCTTTTGGTTTTTAACAAAAAAAATAAAAGAACAATAATAGTTTTATGCTACTTAGATAAGATAATGATTATAAAAATATTTCAATCAAAAAAATCTGAGTTATATTTTTAATTAATATCATAGTAATTGACATTTAATGACTAAATTCGTGATTATGAGACCATAAAAAACATTTAAGTCACATTAAAAGCGTATTTTAAAGATCCTATCGCAAGTCTGAGGTTGGGTCATACAATAATTATCTTTTTATTGTACTTTTAACAACAGGTTGCTAGTAATAATTACTAATACTCCATTTTAAAATTTGAAACAACTTTATTTTTTTAGATTCTCATTATATATATATATATATATGAAAATATAATTAACAGCGATATAAATCATATTAATTCATATAAATACATATTTACCAAAGCATTTTTAGTTTTACCACTGTACTCAAGTTCTTCAAAAACTTTCAGCATAGCAGTAACATTTTTATTATCTCCAAAAACATAGTTGAAATCATTGTTCACCAAACTTTTCACTTTCTTTTCGAGATACCGATCACATGTTGCCGACAATATAACCCCGTTGAAAATAGGATCATGATCAAATATTGAATCACCTTGATACTGATTAGCTTCACCTGCATATATCAACGTCTAAAAACAAATAAGAAAATTAGGAAAGTGGTTGAACCGATAGACCATCCTTGCAACTTCCCGCTAATTCCATATCTAAGCGCTTATAATCGCACTTGTTACTTTTTTGAGCTCTTCGAGCTCAAAAATATAAGTTGTATCATAAAAAATGAAAAAACAATTATCGAAATATATCAATAAAAAAAATCTAAGTTATATTTTTAATTGATTTTTTAATAATTGACATTTAATGACGTATCTGATGATAAGTCATACAATAATTACCTTTTTATTGTGTTTTGCTCAAAGTACATGCACCAATCACCGTTTTTGGTTATTCTTATTAGGTTTTTTAAAAACACAAATGGTTTCTTTTTATTTTTTTCCATTAGAAATTAAAATTGCGTACGTACGCTTTTTTCCTAAACCCATCAGGAATCAGGGTCCATTTTTTCGATTAGTATCGAGAGTTTCGATATTAAACTAACTTATCTTCAATCATAAATTTTATCTCATAGGATAGGATTGCGGCATCAATGTCTCACGTAATTAAGAGTTAAAAAAACTTCGATCCAAAATTACCAATTAATTTTATTTTACCCAAGTTTATTGAGGACTAAAAATACATTAAAAGAATGCTTTACACTATTTTTTCTAAATAGAAATTAATCAAAGCATTAATTTCGGCTTTCTTTCATATGTTTCAACGTCATAAGGACATATTAACATCTAAAAACAAATAAAAAATCAACTTACCAAAATCTTGATTCAAAATGAAATTTTGACAAGTAATAAAAATTTACCTGAGACACGCAGTCACCCTTTTCTGCTTTACGTACAAAATGAGTTTCGTCGCTGGCTAAATACCACAGCATGATATTTTTATTTTCAAAAATATTATATTCGACGTTATTTTTTGAATTGTCGTTCAGTTTAATGACTGCCATTAGAGGACCAAGCGAATTCTGCTTCTTTAATAAATTGATGTTTCGTATTGCCAGCATATTAGTTTCAATAACACGAATTAATGTTATAGTTATTTTTTTTTCAATTATTTTGTTAGTTAACGTATTAATGATTTAATTCTTAATTACTAGTTTATAAAAAATATTAAAGTTACAGAAAAATATTTATTTGTCCAAACAGAGTTTATTTTTAGAACTGAAGAACAACAAAGATAAAAAAAATAATATACTTTAAATCAGCTCAACTAAATACAAATTTATCAAAGCACTATTGGTAAGACTGCTGTGTTCAAGTATCTTAAAAGTTTCCAGCACTTGAGTAATATTGCTTTCTTGAGGTCTTATAATACGTCTAAGATCGTTGTTCAAAAAACTTCTCATCCCCTCTTCGAGGATGCGATTACGAGTTGCTGATAATATTTTACCCTTGAACACAGGATCATAGAGTAATATTGATTCTCTGAAATATGTATCAGCTTCATTAGGCAATATCAACATCTAAAAAAAAATCAAGAAACAATTTCATTAAAACACTCGTCAATAAAATGATAAAATAAAAAATTACCTGGGACAAGCATTCGCCTTTTTCGGTACCAGTTGCAAAATGCGTTACATTGCCCGCCCAGAACCACAATGAGATATTTTTTTCCTCAAAAATATTATATTTAATGTTATTTTTTGAATTTTTATTCAACTTGATCACTACCGTTGATGAAAATTCCAATTTTTGGTTCTTAAATCCTGAGCAAACAGTCATTTTCAAACACGTCATTTTTGGATTAAACTTCTCTGGATTAATTCCGTAATTTTGACGCTTCAAAATTTCCTCGAAAACATTAAGTTTTCCATTTTCTAGTATTGGAGCTTTATTATCGGTGTGCATACGGCAAGTTGAGTAACTGTATGTAGTGAATGGTGAAGTAAATCCGTTATTTGTGTTCATTGAGAAATTTTTAGTAGTTACAAGTCCCGATTTACTCCTAAGTAATTCATTAAGATTGAATCCATCACCGGGAGTAATATGATCTCTTTTTTTTAAATTAGTTAATAGCAGTAAGATATGCTGCCTCTGAGATTCTGACAGAGCTGGCAATTTGGGCAATGGCCGCAATATTAAACTCACTATATCCATGTTTTCAAATTTACTCAAAATTCTATTTTGATGAATATGTTCTGCATTTGAAAATGTGAACAAAGAATAGTCGAGATTATTCAAAAAATAGTATTCGTTAATTTTCTCTTCAAGATTATGATTAACATCAGTAGTTGTGATCGAACTTCTGTAGATTGAAGTTCTGAAAAGATCAGCTGCTTTACCTGGATCATTTCGGTCGATATTTTTACAATTTATTACATCATTTATGCTAATCTACAATTTAAAAAAAATCATTGAGTGAATAGTATTGATTAAATCAAAATGAGTATTTCTTACCTGAAGAAGACAAGTTCCAGTAGAAACAGATGAAACATAATGAGTTTCATTATCCCGTTTCAATCGAAAAACAACTGTTTCGTTCATCCAAATACCATAGAGTCCATCATTAGCAGCTTCCAAAAAGTAATCATCATCCATCAGTTCGATATTCAAATTATGCACTTCCATAGTCATGCAAATTTTAACAATTCCATATCTGAAGTACTGGTCATTAACATAATTTTTATTAATACCCAAGTATTCACCCCTCCGTTGAAGCAAATGATCAAACAACTTCGACGATGCCCGATCGGATAATTCTTCTTCGATAAAAACTTTTGGATAAAAATAAGCCTTCAGGGATTCAAAACGCATACATGTTTGATAAGAGATTTTATAATGGTAAGAATTGTCATATTTTTTCTCAATAAAGCGTGATCCGTTGAACCCGTTGAAAATATCACTGACTATTACTTCGTCCGAATATTTTTCGGACAAATCAACCGTATCACCGACGCGCAAGTTTCTCATCGCCTGCGCATTTGCAATAGCCAGCAATGCGATAATTAAAATTCTAACAATTTCGTTCATTGCTGCGTTTTAATTTCAACTGCGATTAAATTGTTTTCTAAAAAAAAAAGCCTTAGTTATTTTGTTTTTGACAAAAAACATTAGTGTTATCTATTATACGTCTTTAATAAATTGATAAATTTATTATTGGCAGCATTTAAGTTTCACAATGCCACTAATTAAAGTTGTAGAATTCCGTTCAATTAATCTTAACTATTAATGGCTCGTTTTGCTAAGCTTAAATTGAATTTTTTTTTTTTTTTTTTATTTAAAAAACTTCCAATTAATATTGAACCTTATTTGTCTTTCAGGAGTCTTAAGACCGTCAGTCGACGACCCGTACGATGTAATGCGAAGAAGTCGTCTAGTAGAGCCGCGATCACGTGCTAGAAGTATATCCCCTTACCGGCAATCAAACCAGCGTGACCAGCGCAGCCAGAGTGTGATGCGCGGCACAAAAGAACGCAAAACAAGCACCACAAGCACCACCGGGGTTTCACGTACCGAGTGGTTCGATACCGAGGTGAATTACACCGATGAATTCCCAAGAAAATCCCCCACTGACGATTGGTGCAAGGAGAATTCCGCGGATTCCAATACTCCCTTAATAACTGCTCAAACATCCACATCGACATCTGCTTCTTCTCCATCTACATCTTCTTCAACCAGCAGACAGTCCAAGGGAAAAAACAAGTGGCAAGAGCCATTAAGAGCCAATATTACCAGCCAAGCTGAAGATGTTACCTTGACATCAACTATCGACTCCCGCAAAAGCATCCTAGAATGCAACGTCAACCCTTATTTGCTGGTCAAGAAAAACTTGACGACCAAGGACGAGGACGATTTGAGCGATGATCTTTCAGACAATGCTCTGGAATTGGACGACATGTCCTCCAGTCTCTTCGATCCCTCCAAAGTTAAATCCATCGAACGGCTGCCTAATCGCGGGGCAGTTGCTGCGATTGGCGGGCAGCGAATTCGCGTCTTTAATGAACCCAGGGAGTTGATTTCTGATGAAGATAATACTGTTTCTTCTATTCAACCAGTCACACGCATTCCCATTCCTAAGGTCTCACCCAAAAGGCCGCCCAGAAGGCCCAAAGAGGTTAAAGCTGTGCTTAAAAGCATCCTCAAAAGGGGCAAAGGCACTCTGGCGCCCAATTCTGATGGTGTGAGGAAAAATGTGCTTTTTAATGTTAATAATATTATTTTTGCACCGGAAAAATCTAATGATAGAAGAATCAGCAAGAGTTCTTTGCTTAGTAACAATAATAATAATAATAATAATAATAATAATAATAATAGTATCAATAAAAATATTAGCAAAGAAGATGACTTGGAAAAGCCTATTGTTCCAGAAGAAGTTAAAGAACGGCCCAAGTTTATAACTATTCCAAATATCAAGGAGCCAAAACGTCAGGAGAAGTTTCAGGAGTGTAAGATAATTCCGGAAGTCAAGACCATGTTTCAAGATAGAAAGGTCAATAATAATAATAGTAATAATAAACGACCAGAAGTTCCTATGAGGAACAAAAAGGTCGGAGATGACAAAACGATGACTGTTGAGGGGAATATTGATGTTTATGGCAAGAAAAACGGTAGGACTGAACGTGAACAAGATGGCGGAGCGCCTAAAATGGCGGAACCGAAGATAGAGAGGGGGGAGGATGAAACGAATTTGGAAATTGAAATTGAAGAGCTCAAGGATCGGCTGACCGATATTGAGACTGAGGAAAAGGATTTGCTGCTGAAGGCTGATGGTAAGTACTTTCACTTTTCTTATTGTGGATAATGTGTATTTTTTGATATTTTAAGGGTGATTAGACTTTTTTTTTTTTTTTAAGAAGAGAGGGTTGTTTAGGATGATTTATGTATTGCGGGAATTATTAAGTCGTTGATAAAGGTTTATCCTTGAAAAATGAATATCTTGAGGATTATTATCAAGGATAACAGCATTAACCCGGCGTAAGTGCTTGCGCTACTGGTATGTGGTATGTTGGATTGTTAGCCATGAAACTATGATAGCAAGATCATAACGGTTGTTATAAGCATATTTCATCGCCTTTACATATCGTCATGCCTTTTATACACGGATTTAATCTGATGATCTTGATTTTATAGTTGAAAGTGTTTGCGCATTAAATTATTAATAGAAATGAGAAATGAGAATGAAAAATGGGTAACATACTTACAATAAAAATACAAGTATAGAGAGATATTTATTTACGACTCGGATTTAAAATTTAAGAGTTTGTTTTTTGCAAGGCTGACTGAGAGTTATATTACTTAAAAAATAATGACGCTGTTAATCTGGACTTGATGGTGTGGTGGGTGGAGAGAAAGGATCCAGCTGACCTTGAAACACCTTTTCTTGGTTAGTTTACACAAGTAAACGTACCTCCTAATGTTTAATGTGTAAACATAATCATAGTGAAGGAATTGAGAGCTAATTGGAAGGTCATGGTTTAGATATGGATTAGTTAGTTCCTATTGGTTTACTTGGAACCTCGGACCAATTGGTCGACACGCGAGTATCTTGTAGAGATAACTAGTCGCCTAAGGGCAGTATGTAATGATGGAGAATATTCATTGTTTTTAATAAAAATATGTATTTTTTTTAACTAAAAAAATTTTTGCCTATCAATCTTTAAGTTCAATGACATTATTTTCAAATCTGAACCATTATTTTTTCTTAAAATAATTTTTTTCTTAAATTAAATATATTTTTTTTCAGTAAAGTAATCTTAAATTTAATTAAAAAATGTCTTTCTGCTTTCTTACTTTGTCGATAATTTCATTTTTTAAAATTAAAATTCCCTGATTAACAAAAGGAATTTTTAAAAGATTTAAATTTCCCGCGCTAATGGCGCTGCAAGTAAATTACAAATGACGTCATTTGATTAACCAATAAGAATTTCTGAGGGTATTTTAAGGTTAATAAACAACAAAATAATTTTTAAATGACAAATTTTTTTAATTAAAACAACCAATTCTAAAAATAAATTTTTTTCTTTAAAGAAAAATATTTTTCTAATATATTTATAGTAATTTTCATATCATAAATTGCAAAAATTTCTTTTTAAGGAGATCCAAGTACCCTTCTAGTGTAAAGAATGTCTATAAAAAAATAACACGTAGAAATACTTTTGTTATGCATCTTAAAATTAATTAATAACATTTTTGAGGAAATTATATTCGTATTATAAATTTTTAATGGAAACAAATATTAGCAAACTCTGTAATTGTTATCAAACAATCAGAATTAATAAAAAATGAAAATGAAAGGAACTTAATGTCGAATGAAAGTGGACGCGTGGGAAAGGCACGAATTGATCGGAACAATAGTAACCGAGTCGCTCCCTTATATGGAACAGCGAGTACATTTATCGAGAGGACGTGGAGCGAATAACAAATTTCCTTGACTAAAGTGTCTTGAGGAAGAGTGGCTGCTGTCAGTGATCCTATATTATACACTTGAATGATAATATTAAGAAGAGAGCTACTGAATGGATATAACTTGGACACCTGAATGTGTTGATGCGGACATTCGAAACAGTGTTACATTGAAATGGCAGAATACTAATAAATGCCCACTCAATGCTCAGATAATATCAAACTACCGGCTATCGGCTACCGGTTACCAATCACTACATCAGACATCGACTTTATTTAAATTTATTTTTAGATTTTATTTATTGGCATTCCTTTTGAAGACATATTAGCTAAACATGTCACTGACAACTTCGAGAGACGGAAAAGACTCGAGAAAAATACTTATTCCTCTTCCGGTCGATCATATTTCCTGTTGTCTCGCGTGCTGTGATTAGATAATCTCTAACGACGAATTAAATACTCGCTGATTTATTCCCGAAATAATTGATAGTTTTTTTTTTTTTCCGGATATTCATTTCTTTCATTAACGGAAAATAATTTGAACTTGGGAAAAATGTTACGGATGCAATTTATTTAGTAATTAAAGTCATTATATATGCTAATGTATAATTTAAAAAATCTTTATCAATGTCATGATATAATGGTGTCAGTTATTACTTATAAAATATATATATTTTTTTTTTTTAATAAATTAAAGAGCTATTATGTATTGAATATTCATGGACAAAGTTTTCAAAATTAATGAGTTGGCATTTTATTTTTTAGTAAAAAATATTGTAAATTTTTTATTAAATAATAATGTAAATTTTTTTTAATTCAATTGTAAAAATTCTTTAATACTTCAACAAATTTTTTAAAAAATTTTAAACTTAAAATTCATAATTTATCTCAATAATTATTTTTTACTTTTTTCTGATCTTAAAATTAACATTTTTTTAATTATTCAATTTTTGATAAATTATTGATTGTTAAAAAAAATTCTTAATACTATTATAGACCGTAGAACTAAACAATAATTAAAATTTTACAAGTTTTTAAATTTCAAAAATTATTTAAAAAATTATACGACTTCTAGACAGTAATTAAAAAATTTTTTTTGAGAAAAAGTGATTAAAATTACGGAATTAACTCAATTAAAAATTTCTGATCAATAAATTATTTATAATTACAATGTCTATAAAGTCCCAGTATATTTACACCATTTATTATAGATTTATTACAGAAATTTCAAGATCATCAATAACCAAAATAGTTTATCAATCACAAACCGCTTATGCAATTTCAAAAAAGTCCAAAAAAAAAAAATGATGATTAATGAAGAAACAAAGTTAACGATCCGGTCATTCACCCAGGACTTACCAAAACAGGCCACGGATTAGCCATTAACTTGTCTTTCTATTCTATTCAGCATCTCTCGACATTAAACATCAAATTTCAATAAATCAGAGGATTAAACCCGCAAAAAATTCGTAATATTACACAAATTTATTTATTTTTTTTTTTTATAAATCGGGAATGAATTTCATTTAAAAAAATTAAAAATAACCCGCCCAAAAATTTTTATAAAGTTTAATTTAAAATTTCTTAAATTAAATAAAAAAATTGTTCTTTGTCGCGGCTACTGTGTAATTCAATATAACTACAAGAAAAACCAGAGGAAGTGAAACCCAAAATACGGGTAAGGTTTCGTTCATCCTCTTGCATCCTTTCGCGATATATGATGCATGATGCATTGTATTATTGCTATAATATAACATATGAGTCAAACGTAAAGGCGAGTGAGCTGAGGTGATTGTTTGGCATTTGAGCCAAGCATCGGGTATTAAATCGACATTAGAAAGGTCGCGTCCTAGATTTAGTTCTTATATTTATATTTATATTCATATTACTGTGCCCATCAGCTATCAACTCTTATTACACGTATAAATCTATGTAACTCTCTATCTTTCGTAATCTAAACAATCAAAAAGTCTAAAATAATAACAATAACAACAATGACAACTTAAAAAACAAAATAAAAACCGGAAGATAATAGGAGCGGGCCGTACGCTTTCTTGTTTTAAATTTAGTGTAATTTTGTCAAGATTACGAGGCATTAATTGTGAGATTTCCGGGCAACGGTACTCTCCTTTATATATAGACTTTATATTGTATACGTCTAATAAATTACGGTGATAATATAACGGCTTGGTCTTAGTCTTAGTTTTAATCTCACTCTTATTTTATCTATTCGCTTTTGTTTTTGTTAGATTGTTCGGGAGGAAGTTCAGGGAATTAAATAGAATGAGGAGTTGAGAATAAAGCAAGGCTGCATTGATATTAATTATAGTTTTTAAGTATTAATAAAATTAATAACTGTCTAACTATAAATTAAAATTATAATTTATTTAAGACGTCTTAAAAATTGCCATTTAAAAATTAATTTCATTAACATTTTTATCAAATTGTACCTTTAAATTTATCAATAAAATTTTGAGACAAAATAATTTTTATTAAAATTTTGTTCAATGTTTCAAAGTCAAAATTTTTGGAAAAATTACGAGTACAATTATATTTTTTTCTCGATACTAAAGTCTCTTTTTAATTTTTTTTATCGCACAAATGACATTAAATATAACTTCAATTTGAATTATTTTTAAAATTACAAGCAAAAATTTAAACTAAAAATATTTATTTTAATATTGTAAAATTAAAAATAAAAAATACTATTAAAAATTCTATTAATAAAAAGTTGAAAAATTTTGCTGGATATTTTTCAGATAAATATATAAATTTTTAATACACTTTTACTAGCTTGTAAAGTTTGCTTGATTAAAAAAAAAAATTTTTTTCTTAAAAATTCACGACACTAAGACAGTTTTTTATTTGAACGAGTGAAGATAAATGAAAGGGAAAAGAAAAGGGAAGAAAGAGCGATTGATTATCTAGCAGCGAATCTTTTCACGTTACATTTTTAATGCAAGACGAGTGAGACAAGACAGGACTATAATATAATAAGTGGCTAGCTTGCGCTATTACCCGGCTTGCGGAGAAAGTTCACCGGAGGCTTAAAGTTGTTACACTTTTAAATTTATTTATTTATTTATTATTTTAGCTTTTTGTCTTATATACTGATTGCGTGATCGGTGATAGGCAATTAATCTCGCTAAGACGCAAAATGTTATTCGGCAAAAACTATTCATTATTTTTACTATTTAATAAATTATTTGCGTGATTTCTGATTACCGATTTTTATTGGATTATGCAATGGCGGTTTTTGTAATTGAAAATCGTGTGGTCATCAATTAAAAGCTAGAGATATATTAAATTTATCGTTGTATAGAAAAAATTATTGTCAATTAACGATAATTATGTAATTGGCAGAAGCGATACAGCATGTATAACAAAAAATAATGCGCATTAAATTATTAAGATTGTGTAATCGAGAATACCAATGTTTCTCAACGTTTATGGTTCGTAAATTTCAGTAACATTATATTATATGTAATATAAATGTAATGTTATGTTGGGAATTGTTGCATTGTGATTTTAGATTTTATTATTTAGTTATAAATTATTTATTTGTTTTTAATAACTTTATCAAGTGGATACACGAAGAGAAAATTAATTGATTCAAGAGAAATTTTCTTGATCATTGAAAATTATTTTGTTGGATAATTTATAGCGACAGTTTTATGTTGACGCATTTATTATTTTTAATTATTCTTGTTAAAAATTATTTTTTAATTATTTGTAAATTAAGTAAATTTAAATTTTAAAAATTCATTGAATTTTTTCAAGAATTATCCACAATATTAAGACTAAATTATTCAAGAGGATTTTTTTTTATAAGAAAAGACAATTTAAGGCATAATTTTTATATTGAACCATTTTTTGTACAAAATTTTGTTGAAAAAATTTTTTTTCACAAAAATAAAAGTATATTTATGAGTTACAAATTAAGTAAATAAAATTAAGTCTCAAACTTTAAAAATCCAGTTGAATTATTCAATTATTTTGCATTAAAAAAAAATTAATTAATAATAAAAAAATTTGTGTTAAAATTTAAAAAAATTATTTTCTAACAAATAAAAGTATAATTTCAAGATAAAAATTAAAAAACAATATTTTCCTCAATCAAATAATTTTTTTCCCTTCTCCTTTTACGATAGGCTGGTTCTCTTAATACATATAGTAAAAAAAAGTCAATAGGCGATAAGCGATGTGTCAGATTAAATCAGATTATAAAAATAAGAATTAAATAGGGAATGATGTATGATGTTAAAAATAATGAAAGTTGTACTAATTATTCAAATAATTAGAATAATATATAATAGAGAAAGAATATTGGTCTATGATCAGCGACGTCATGATGATTTACATATTTATCACCTATTTAAGAATCAATTAGACGCGCTACAGAAAAATAATAACAAGCTTAGGTGACTTAAGAAATAAAATAAAATTTTTTTTTCCAGACCAAAGCCCTCGCTTGTGCCTAACAAGGAGCCAGAGCGACAGATCAATAGCGAAGCCCGACGTGTCAGCAGCAGGGATCCAGTACCTGGACACAATGCGTCTAAGTCTTCGCCGACCTTCTTCAAAAGACCTTCTGGAAGTAGAAGAGTCTCTTCCCGCTTCAAGCCCGCCCTTGATTCCCTCGATCACCATAACAACCGTCGAGAAACTGACCTCTCACGAAGAGAAAGAAGCCCGGCCTTCAAAATTGACCGAGTCGCCGCCATCATACAGGTCGATGAATTTTAACCCTTCCATCGAGCAATTCAAGAGAATGCGTCCGACTTCATGGTCGCCACCACCTGGCAAGCACAAGCACGGATTTCGCGAGCGAGTAAGCGACCCTGGTCCTTTCAACCACATCATTGTGATGCCAGAAAGCCCCAAGAGTCCTCAATTCCAAACCTGGTCTCCTTCCTGCTCTAAAATAGAAATTGGATCGAAAGCCGAAGTCAACGTCTGCAAAATAACAGTGTCTCCAAAATCTGCTCCGCTGGTCCACAGACTGCAGGTTGGTGGGGAATTCCCAAAAGGATCTAAAAGAACCTCCATCCTTATCAACGGCGAGTCTTCCGAAGCAGAGCCCAATATTACCGACAACAAGGTTACCATCAGCGTAGGCGGCGAGGACAGTGTTTGCAACCCGACGGTGATTTCTGTAAACTCGACGAGCCCTCCGAAGATCCAGAGCTCCAAGGAGAACAGGACACTCGTTATTCTGGATAATTATCAGTCTAACATTGTCCTAGAGTCCGCAAAAGCCAAATCTAGAGAGCGAGACGCGAGTGCCGACAAGATGGCCGACAAGAAGCCTAAAATGGAGGACAAAGATGCGCAGAGCCAAATTTTTGTTCGAGATGAAAAAAGATGGTCAGGATTGTCTAAAGAATCTTTAATTTCAAAATTACTTGAAGATTCTCTGCGAAAAGCGCGGGAAAATGGAGAAATTTTGGATGAAAGTAGTGGAGAGGCTATTTTGAGAATATTAAAGCAAAGTTTGCTTAAAACTAAAGAGTATGAAAGCTCTGAGTCGACTTTGGAGGCGGAACAATTTTCTAGATCCCCTAGTATGAATTCTGATGTGGATTTCTCGACTAATTTGTTCTTGGAGGAAAATCCTTATGAGGTTATTAAAGAGCCGATTTATGAAGAAATTCCTGATGAGCCGCCGCCTTTGCCGCTTAGTCCTCCGCCGACAGAAGATTATATTAAAGGAAGGATTTATTTTCCGGAGGAGTATAAAGAGAGTTACTATAAAAAGGTCAATGCTGGACAGTACTTGGGCAGTTATTTGACGGAGGATGTATTTAAGAAGGATGAAGGGGATTATTTGTCGAAAAGTCCCCAGGAGTTTTTTAAACCTACTGGGGATGGAAAGTTGACGAAGAAGTTTGAACTTTTGAACTTTTTGATGGATAAGGATAGAGTTGTGGAGGTTGAGGATGAAGTTGAGATTGAAGATGATGAAGATGAGGACACTGAGGGGGATCTTGAGGCGCTTTATGAGCAGAAAGAAACTAGTATGGGGGATTTGAGCTCGAAAAGTTCGCAGATTTCTAATGTTTCGGATAGTAGTGAGGAATGTAATATTATTCTGACCAGTTCTGCTGAAGCTACTAAGGTAATTATTTTTTTTTTTTTTTTTTTTTTAAGAGGGTTTATGCATGGAAGGATTTATCTGGATGGAACAGGTGGTGAATAAATAATTTGTAACAGGTTTCAGTAGAATAGATCGATTAGATGATTGAAAAAATAAATTTAATTGTAAATCGAATTCACAGACACGGAGCGTGGACATCGAAAGAACTGACAGTGGAGTTGGATCGGAGAGCAGTCAAGCGAGCAGCAGCCGCGGCGTTGTAAGACGCTGGCGAGCCGGAAACACCTCATCTTCCTCCTCCTCCGGTCCGGGCAGTCTCCTCGCTGGAATCCCTCAGGTCATATCCGGCGACGCGAAACTCTGTGAGGATTGCGAGCAACGTCTTGAGCCACTAATCACCGACAGGTACGCTAATAATAAATAATAACTATTCAATCATCCGTAATATCTTTTGATATTTTTATAATAATGATAATAATAATAACTAGAAAAGTTGCAGTCACTATTTGACTTGTGAACTATAAAAAATTAAAATTTTAGTTTATTAAATGACTTTCGTTAAATTGCACTGTACTTTTTTAAATATTGACATTTTTAAAGATATAAAGCTCATCCCGATGTTACACTCATCGAGACCTTTCATTTGAGTACCCACATCAATTTTTAATATATTTATATATTTATATATATATATATATATATATATA